AACTAAATGTGGTAAAAATGCCAACGATATGTAACAAACAGAAGAAAGCCATAAAATCCACTAAGGCTTACCGTAGGAGTGAGATAGCCAACCATCACTGGGCCTATGATCCCAGCGATGCATGGTATTGTATTGCCAATACCTAATATAGGTCCAGCAAATGCTGGTGCGATATCAAGATAACTGACCATATAACCGGAATACTGTATTCCAGATAAACCAATACCAAGGGTAAGAAATATGATCACTAGGATCTCCTGACCACAACCGCAATAACCGCTAGCAATGAGAAATACAGCTTGACTTCCAAGTGCTGTAATTTCAACAGTTATACTTCAAAAAGAGTAAATTAGCAGGCTTTTTCTTCATTATCATACACGTCTCAAAAATGAAGCAAATCAGTATCTTTTAAAATATAATACCATTATGATTAATTCATAAATGCATATAGATAATTAATATTCATCCTACATATTCATATCACAAAAACGAAATGTTTTGCTGAAACAATCTAAGAAATGGTCAAATAACCATCATAAAACATCAATTACAGTATTACAGGATTGCTAATATTTAAGTTAGTTATGCTCAAACTTGTGATCATTATTTCTTACTATTGGTACTTCTCATTAATTTTAAACTAATTTGGAAAAATATAATACCATAAGTTTTAAAATAAACCTACAAACGATCATAGCAATACGTCGAATTGCTATAGTCGATAAGACATTTGCTTTTTGTAGTTTATCGGCGGTAAAACCACCCAAATTCATACATACAAAATATGTGAGATATGGAATTGCTGTTAAAAATCCAAGCTAAAATACACTAACTTAATAAACATTCTATTGAAAAAATGTTTTCAGGATCGGATATCCAATTAAAGAATGGTACGATGTCAAGCGTTAATTTTTCGACGAGCTTAAATAAAGTCGAATAAAGCTCAAATCGATGAAAGTGCTTTTCACCTAATCAGTTTGCCCTTTTTTTTTTCAGATACGACAAGTTATATTAGATCATCTGACCATTTACGCTATGAAATATCAAAAATGCTATTTGGATAGATCCATTTTATGAAATTATAGAAAATTAACGAACCGAAGCAAAATCTAATCCCAAAACATCATTCATGAATAGCGGAAGAGTGGTTATCATCATGTGGCCACCCCAATCACCGGCAAAATGACCACAGAATACAGCCCAAACAGGAACCGACTTGAATATTGCAAGCCATGGCACTGGTCTTTTCTGAAATTAAAATTAGAACACAATTAGAATTTCAATTCTTGAAAATGGCATAGCTGAGCATACTGGATATTCTCGCATATGAACACTGATTCGTTTTTCTTTATCTTTCTTCATCACCTAGCTAATGCTGTATCATTTTCAATGCGAAATGTTCCGGTTTGCAAAATTTCGGTAACTAATTCTGAAGAAAATGTGTTTCGGAAAAATTACTACCTTCTTGGAATCCGGTGCTAATATGTCAGCTAACGAATTTTCAATATAGTTTAGCTCTTTCTTAGAAATACGTTTACTATGTGACGGTCGATCCGAAACATAGAAGAACCAAAGAAAACACCATAAAACGCCGGCCGTACCTAAAAAAGTATGTTTGGAAATCATATCAGAAATGGTTCCTTGAAATATAAATTATTTATAATCAGGCAAATTTCAGG